TTATTTGAATGTCAGCAGACAGCAAGAAGCCTCCCAGATCTCCAGATGCATTTGAGATATCAAAAAAGTACTCCAGAGTGTTGTTCAGCATGGGGGGAGTAGAAAATGAAGGCTAATCATGTTTTGGGTGTACTATTCCTTTAACAGTATGAAAATATTAATTACAACTATTGTCATTGAGCATTATGTCCACTAGATGGCTGTAATGTTGCATTATCTGTGACGCTCAGACTTTCCTTTAACTCGTTTAAACATTCAACATTATTCCAAAATTTACTTTGAACTAAATATTGAAGTCATTTCTTGTCTCCTTTGAAAAGTTAATTTCAGTTTTGCACTTTGATCCTAAATGTGGAATCCAGACCCTTTTTTAAAAACACTGTAGGCGTTTTATAAGCAGACTTCCACTGTGGCTCTCTGGCTCTGCTTTAGCTGCAGAAAGGAGCTACGGTAGGAGAAGTCCCACCTGAAAGCGGAGCATGTTTGAACTGTCTTCTGTCCACACTCATCAGGAGTCCGGTCTAAAGGTCAATCACCCAGCATCCTTTGCGGTGCGTCTGAATGGAGCACAGGGCAAGTTGGAGGCCAAAGTCCACAGTCCTTCTGGAGCTCTGGAGAAGTGTGCGGTCACGGAGCTGGAGAAAGGTCAGTGTGTGCTTTGATGGCTCCGGTTCAAATTTTCACTGCAGTACGACTTTTTCTAGCATCACAAACCTTAAAGAAACATTTCATCCAGGACCGAAGGAGCATCAATGCCTGTCAGAATTATTCAAGAAGAACCATTGGAAATTTAATCCTGTCTTAAATCCTCCCTGTATAATTTTAATGAAAAATGTTGATTACTTTCAAAAATGAGAATGGACCCAGAGGCTGAAAGTTATACCCTCAGATAAATTACTGCCCCCCCCCCCCAGCAATCTTTGTCTTGGACGTGAGCCTTTTGTAACATCAACAAGCTTTGGTTTGGTACAGATTGGGCTTTAAAGTATTATGCAGTGCTGTCAAACTGGCCCGCTTAAAGGGGGACATTGTTTTTTTTTTTTACATTGGGCCCTTGATTTTAAGTTATTACATCTGGTTCTACTCGTTTTTGTCATTTGGAGCCGTTCTGAAGATATTCCGTTAGGTTATATCCAGTAACGTCTTCCTATGGGCAACGACTTGAAGGCACAAACTAAACTGTTCATCATTTATTCTTTATGGTACGCCACATTCAGACAATGGAGGCCAATCACTGTCCCCCAGACATCCACGGTTATATTTTGGACACACAAACGGGTGTGTGTATGATGTCATCCGTCATATGGACGAGTAGTACATAATGTAATAACATAAAATCAAGGGCCCAATTTAAAAAAAACAAACAAAAAAAAGGTGTTCCCCTTTAAGCAGAAACTTGGAAACTGGAGGAGTCCCACAACCAGCACTCGTCTCGTGGAGACATGTGTTCTGCGCAGGCCAGATAGAGATGTTTGACTAGAAGAATGTTTGGAGGAAGCTGCGTAGATCCCAAACACGGATCTAGTATAAGATCAAGCTTCTGAACCAGTTTGCTTTAAGGAGATCAGTGATCCTATAAAACATCAACATCCATGATTCAGGAGAGGCTTCTGCCGACTCCACACCTCCTGGATGCTAACCGTGTAATGTTTGCTAATAAAGCTCCTCCGCCTCTAAATCTGAGATCTGATCCCATTTGGCCCTTTTTTTCTCCTCAGATAAATACGCCATCCGCTTCATCCCCAGGGAGAACGGCGTCCATACCATTGATGTTAAGTTTAACGGCTCTCACATTCCGGGAAGTCCTTTCCAGGTCCGTGTTGGAGAACCAGGACAAATTGGAGAAGCTGGTCTAGTCTCAGCTTATGGATCTGGTTTGGAGAGAGGCACCACAGGTGGGTCACCTGTACATCCTTCATAAGAATCCGTAAAGACAGGTTTTGAGATTTCTGCTGCTGGTCAGCTGACGTCCCAGGAGCTGTTGATCGGAGTTCAGTCTGTCT